CGAAGCGATTAAATAACTACTTATCCAGCTCGCTCTTCTGCTCCTGCAACTCCTCCCCTCCTCCTCCCTTCTCCTTCATTCTCTCCTCCTTCTCTCTCCCCTGGACGATCGGGCACGCGCTAACACGGATTGGGAAAGTGGGGATACGTGGATCTGCCGCGTGGGCGCCAGATAGCCACGGGCACCAGGTCCACGGACGGGGAAGAAACATGAAGCCAACGCCGCCTCATCAAGAACGGAGCGCGCCGATCTCGCACGGAAGCGGGGTCCACCGTTGACCCGTGCGTCTCAATCCATGTTTGCGCTTCCTCGGGAGGCGGGGAAGGGAAGAAAACGGGGACCAAGACCAAGACTGAACGCGGAAACGTCATGTCGGTCCTGGTCAGCGTCCATCCTGGCGGAGGAGGAGGAGGAGCAGGAGGAGAAAGGTTATTTTGAAAAAGGGGGAGGAGCAGTAGAAGGAGGAGGTCATTTTGAAGAGGAGAAGGTGGAGAAGGAGGAGGACGAGGAGGAGGACACCGAGGAGAAGGAGGAGGAGACTGTGGAGCAGAAGGAGGAGGACGACACTGTGGAGCAGGAGGAGGACGATACTGAGGAGCAGAAGGAGGAGAAGGAGGAGAAGGGGGGGGGGGGCCGCGGGGAGGCCTGGAAGGTCTCGAAGCTGGTCGAGGTGAGGAGGCCTGCCCCCGGTCTGGGAGGGGCGCCGGCCTCCCTCCCCTGACTTCCCGTCTTCCCTGCTCCGCCCCGCGTCCTGCCCCCATCGCACGCCTCCCCCTTCCACCTCTTTTTTTGGCACGGGGCGAACCTGAGCATTTTGGCTGTTGCGCTCTTCCCCCGTGCGTCCTCCACTCCTCCCTCGTCCACCCGCCGTCTCCCCCGTCTCCTCGGCCTCCTGCTCCTCCTCTGCCTCCCCCTGCTTCCGGGTCCTCCTCCTTGTCCTCCTCGTCGTCCTCGTCCTGCTTCCTGGTCTCCTCCTCCTCCTCCACCTCCTCCTCCTCCTCGCCCTCCTCCTCATGATGATGATCATCATCAGCATGATCATCATCACCATCACCATCACCATCACCATCAGCATCACCATCATCATCATCATCATCATCATCATCATCATCATCATCATCATCATCAGCATCATCATCATCATCATCATCAACATCAGCATCAGCATCAGCATGAGCATCATCATCATCGGCATCAGCATCAACATCATCAGCATCATCAACACCAGCATCAGCATCATCACCGTCATAGCATAATGTTCACTATCATTAGCATCACCATCATCCTCTTCATCCTCATCATCATCAGCATCACCAACATGATAAGCATGACGATCATCATCATCATTATCCTCATCCTCCTCATCATCATCATCGACCTGCCCCGTACCATCACCATCAGCATCATCATCATCATCACCATCAGCATCATCATCAGCTGCGTCGTCAACATCATCATCATCATCATCATCATCATCAGCATCCTCATCATCACCATCACCATCACCATCACCATCATCATCATCGCATTATCACCCTCACCAACGTGTTCATCATCTGCAACGTCATATTATTCATCATGATCACACTCATCATAAGCAGCATTATCATCATAATCAGCATCGTCATCATCACCAACAACATCCTCATCGCCATCATGACCAGCATCATCAACAGCGTCATCATTAACATCCGCATAATCAGCATCAGCAGCCGCATCAGCATCACCATCCTCATCCACATCCCCATCCTCATCCTCATCCTCATCCTCATCAGCATCACCATCCTCAGCATCAGCATCAGCATCAGCAGTAATAGCAACAGCAGCAGCATCGGCATCATCATAGTCATCGGTTACATCATTACCATCCTTATCCCTGACATCATCGTAATCCTCATTTTCCCCTCATGTTCCACGTCTCCCTCCTCCTCCACATCCTCCTCCTCCTCCTCCCCTGTCCTTGCCTGGCCTTGTCCTCGTCACAGTCATCCTCCACCCCTCGTTGTCCTTCCCCCCTGCCTTCTCTTTCTTCTCCTCCACCTCTTCCTACTCCTCCTACTCGTCCTCTGTCATCCTGGTTTGCCTCCTTCGTTCTGTCAATGGAAGCATCGGCTGGGGCACAACTAGAATTCTGGGGGGGGGGGGCGGCGGGGAACGAAATTTACACCAAGAGTGCAACTCCTTTGAACGCAACCGTGCTGACAGCTTAATTATTACGTTAAGCTACTGCCAAGGTCTGCGTGCATGCATGCATGATCCTGATGTGCTTGCCACGTGCCCGACAAGGAAGAGAAGGAAGATTAGGACGGGAGGAGGAGGAGGGATGAGGAGGGGGGGTCAGATGATGATGATGAGGAGGACGGATAGAAGAGAGATGGGAGGAGGAGGAGGAGGAAACATGTCATAATAATGAAAGCGAGAAACGCCCCCCTTATTCTTCTCCTCCGCCTTCTCTTCCGTCGGCTCCTCCTCCTCCTCCTCCTCCTCCTCTTTCACCTCGCGATGGAGGCGAATAGTTATCCTATTGATCCTCCTCTCATCCTCATCCTCATCCTCCTCTGCTCCCGCGACCTTTCCAGGTGGTGCTCTGGCCAAACCTTCGACGAGAATCCAACCGTGGCGGCGAAAGCTCCCCGGGACGAGCAGCGGCGTCGGAATCTTGCCATCTGCTGAAGGATGATCTTCTTCCTCCTCTTCCCAGGAGCACCCAGAATCGAAGCGATGAGTAGGATCGGCGATCGACATCAGTCGGATCGGCGGAAATCGGCAGCCGAGTTGGGAGAAGTCGGATCGGCGGAACTCGGCAGGCTATTAGGCCTCCATTGAGAAATCGAGCTTCAAATCGAAATCCGAACTCGGATCGAGTCGGAATCGGAAAACATCGAAATCGAATCGACTCGAATCGGAGGAGTCGGCTTGAGCCCTGTTCCTCTCCTCATCCTACTCTTCGACGTCAGGTGTTTTTGTGATCGGGTCTTAAACGAGGGCCGCCAGCAGCCCTTCGGGACGATCTGTCCCCCCTCCCCCAGCCAACGCCTCCTGCGGCGAGAAGACCTCCCAGAACAAACGAAGCCTTCCTCCAGAAACTATGGACGCCGTTAACCGACCCCTATCCCCATGGGCATGCCCTGAGCCCCACTATGGGGATATGGGCTGTTTCTTTCGGGGTTCCACGGGTGCATCCCCAACTGGGGTGCTGAGATCGTGGGGGTCTAGACAGGGATGGGGATGGGATGCGTGGGAGTCGGTTAAGCCATGCTGAAGCCAGCGACGAGATCCTCTTCCTCGTGCGCGTCCCTGGCAAGGCCCTCCACGACTGCCCAGTTCGAGGCCGAGCCCCAGCCCGAGCCAGTGCAACGAGCCCGAGCCCGAACCAGAGACCGAGCCCGAGCCCGAGGCCCGAGCCAGAGGTCGAGAGCCCGTGCCCGCGCTCGGGCCCCCGGGGGGACGAGGGCCCAGAACGCCCCCCCAGCGGCCTGCGCAAGCCCCGCCCTTGCCGAGGAGACCCTTGGGGCGGGCGTCGGGCGACATCTGCTTCGCGACCTCTCGCGGCCCGGCGCCGCACCGCTTCGCCAGCGGAGAGCGGGCTGGGGAGAAGACGAGCAGCGAGGGGGGGGAGGGACAATAGAGGACTCCTAGATGGGGTCCGAGTAGATGGGGTCGGAGGATCGCGCCGCATTGGCGATACATCGGCGATGCACGGGCGATGCATCGTCGACATAGGCGATGCACCAGCGACGCCGGCGTGGACAAAATCGGGCTCCACGTGGAGCCGCATCGTGGATGCATCGGCGATGCGGCGCGATCCACCGACCCCATCTACTCCAACCCCATCTAGGAGGCCTAGAGACATGCCAGGGTGCGCTTGCGCCATGCCGAACACCATAATGACTGCATACCCCTCCCACCCATCCCTTCCCACTGCGCGGGTTGTTCCTCTATCCGCGGACGCGTGTTGCCGACCTGGCTCTCCAACAGAACATCGTGTTATGCGCAACCGGTAGAAAAAAGGGGGCTGCGTGCCTAGGAGGAGGAGGAAAAGGAGCAGGAGGATGAGCAGGAGGAAGGAAGACTCGCATCCAGAAACGTGGCCCGCGCTGGGGCGAGAGATCCAATCTGAACGACGGGAGCACAGCGACGAACCGAACATGAAACCCACGCTCCAGCGGGAGCACCATCTTAAAACACGGAAGCAATCGGATTGCAAAACAAACATTCGAAACAAAACATACATGTATTGACATAGCGTATGCGAAACAATACGCGGAGAAGGCCGGGGACCTTCCGCACAGAGTCAGGTGAGAGAGGAGCGTAGTATTCATAGTTTGTGACCCATGTACATGGGAATTCTGTACAGGAGGAATAGCAGGAGGAGGAGGAGGAGGAGACACGATGGGGAGTGGTGGGAAGGGGATTGGAGGGAGGAGATGGGCGGATGAGGAACATGAGGGAACGGAAGAAAAAAGGAGCGAGGCGGGGCAGAACAGGGGCGCGTACTGACTTATCTGTTTTTGATGCTCACGTACACACGACACGCACGAGAGAGAGAAAGAGAGAGAGAGAGAGAACAAAAGAGAGAGAGAGAGAGAGAGCGAAAAATAACAAACAACAAACAGAGAGAGAAAGAGAGAGAGAGAGAGAGCGAGAGAGAAAGAGAGAAAGAGAGAGAGAGAGAGAGAGAGTGAGAGAGACCTAGCGTTATGTGGGACCTGACCCCCAGACAGGGGGAGTTTAGGCGGAATATAAAGAACACGAACATGCAACCCAAATATTCAAACATGGTAAAACAAAATCGTCCCCATATCATTTTTGACTATTTTTGAATATCCCTCCAAGAGCGAGACAGGACGACGAACAGTGGCCGCTCCTCACTGTCGGGCCGCGTCGTGCCCCCGCTCGGTGGCCAGGCGGGCAGGCGGGCTCCCCGCCATTGCTCGGACGCCCATTCCCCGTGCATTGTTGCGGTTTCGTGCGTGCACTTTGTTAGCAGGATGGCCCAAGATGGCCCAAAATGCTCCTCGATGATTGCGCCGGCCTTGCAGACGTGCTGCAGCGGATTTTTGCGTGGAGTTCTGCGTGGATTGTTGCCCGAAGCGGCGAGCGAAAAACGAAGTGAATCTCGCGTGGATTATTTTTGGTCTTCATCCCTGGCCAAACAAAAATCCGCACGAGATTCACTTAGAAATCAGGGACGAACTTCTCCAAAACTCTCCGGGCCCATCCAAGCGTTTTCCGAACGAAATCCGTTCTGCGAGCTCTGCGATGGTGGCGCCATCCCCGCGCGATCGGCGAGGGAAGGGAGGACGGGGCTCGGACGGAAGACGGGGGCACTGGGAAGCAGGAGGGGTTCCGAATTTTGCTCGCCGCGGCCTGTTCCGGCGCCGCCGTCCGGCGCTCGCCGTGATGCCTGGGCGCCCTCTGGCGCCGTGGGGTGCCTGGAGAGCCCGCTGTGCGAGCGGATTCCCTGACCGCCCCTCCCGCCCGCTCGCGGTCGGCCAGCTCGCGGGCCGTGCCTGCGGCGCGTGCCGGCTCCGAGGAAGGACCGATGTCCGCAGCCACGGGGGGGGCCCTCTGCCGAGGGCGCGCGCTTCTCCGCGGCGGGACGGCCCCATCTGGGCGCGGGGTGGGTTACGCAAGCGCGCAGCACAACAAATGACGATCTGAAGCAGCATCATCATCATCATCGTCATCGTCGTTGTCTTCATTGTCGTCGTCATCATCGTCGTCATCAGCATCCACCACCACCACCACCACAACTCAGCGCCGCCACCATGTTCATCATCATCGTTATCAGCAGCATCCTCATCAACATCTTCAGCGCCGCCGCCATCATCATCAGCAGCATCATTATTATTACGATACCGAGGAAACCCACATGTTTATAGTACTGTATGGCTGGGGTGATGATAGCTGAAGTGAAGCATGTGACAATGATGTTGGTGGCCGTTGCCGATACCGTTGGTGACGCCAGTCAAGGAGAGAAGGGAGGAGAGTGGAGAGGAGATCAGATGTTGTTCAATACACATGGAAAGCGCTTTGCGGCGCCCACGAGGCATCGAACACAATGGAACGCGATCTTCGGCGAAGGCCTCTGATCAGATCTGAGAGAAAGAAAACTGCTGTGCCCTGGACGACCGTCACGGACAGCGGCCGCGCTCAGTAACCACCCCGTGCGCACCCCCGGTGGTGTCGAGAAAACGCCACGCCTGCTGGGCCTGGACGACCGTCACGGATAGCGGCCGCGCTCCAGGACCACCCCGCGCGCACCCTTGTGGCGTCGAGCAAAACGACTGCTGTGCCCTGGACGACCGTCACGGAAAGCGGCCGCGCTCAGTGACCACCCCGTGCGCACCCCCTTATGGTGTCGAGAAAACGTTACACCTGCTGTGCCGTGGACGACCGTCACGGACAGCGGCCGCGCTCAGGGACCTCCCCGTGCGCACCCCCCCCCTGTGGAGTCGAGAACACGCAACGCCTGCTAGGGCAAGGACGACCGTCACGGACAGCGGCCGCGCTCAGGGACCACCCCGCGCGCACCCCGTGGTGTTGAGAAAACGCCACGCCTGCTGCGCCCTGGACGCCTGTCACGGATAGCGGCCGCGCGCAGTGACCACCCCGTTTGCACCCCCTGTGGTGTCGAGAAGACGCCACGCCTGCTGCGCCCTGGACGCCTGTCACGGATAGCGGCCGCGATCAAGGACCACCCCGCGCGCACCCCCTATGGTTTCGAGAACATGCCACGCCTGCTGGGCCTTGGACGACCGTCACGCATAGCGGCCGCCCTCAGGGACCACCCCGTGCGCACCTCCTGTTGGCGCGCATCTCGGTGGTGTCGAGAACATGCCACGCCTGCTAGGGCAAGGACGACCGTCACGGATAGCGGCCGCGCTCAAGGACCACCCCGTGCGCACCCCCCCTTGTGGTGCCGAGAAAACGCCACGCTTGCCGTGCCCTGGACGACCGTCACGGGCAGCGGCCGCGCTCAACCACCCCGTGCGCACCACCCCCCTGTGGCGCCGAGAAAACGCAACGCCTGCTAGGCAAGGACGACCGTCACTGACAACGGCCGCGCTCACGGACCACCCCGTGCGCACCCATAAACGCCACGCTTGCCGTGCCCTCGACGACCGTCAAAGGCAATGGCCGCGCTCAACCACCCCGTGCGCACCCCCCCCGTGTGGCGCCGAGAAAACGCAACGCCTGCTAGGGCAAGGACGACCGTCACGGACAGCGGCCGCGCTCAGGGACCACCCCGTGCGCACCCCCTTATGGTGTCGAGAAAACGCCACACCTGCTGTGCCGTGGACGACCGTCACACATAGATGCCGCCCTCAGGGACCACCCCGTGCGCACCCCCATGTGGTGTCGAGAATATGCCACGCCTGCTATGCCCTGGACGACCGTCACGGATAGCGGCCGCCCTCAGGGACCACCCACTGCGCACCTCCTCTTGGCGCGCATGTGTTGCGTGGTGTGCGTGTCATGTGTTTGTGTGTTGCATGCTTGTGTGTGTGTGTGTGTGTGTGTGTGCGTGCTGTGCTGTGCTGTGCTGTGCTAAGCTATGGTGTGCTAAGCTGTGCTGTGCTGAGCTGAGCTGTGCTGTGCTGTGCTGAGCTGGTCTGTGCTGTGCTGAGCTGCGCTGTGCAATGCTGTGCTGAGCTGTGCTGTGATGACGTGCTTTGCCGTGCTGAGCTGTGCTGTGCTGAGCTTTGCCGTGCTGAGCTGTGCTGAGCTGAGCTGAGCTGTGCTGAGCAGTGCTGTGCTGTGTACGTGCTGTGTTTCAATGTGCTGTGTGTTGTGCTGTGCTGTGCTGAGCTGTGCTTTGCCTTGCTGTGCTGCGCTGCGCGGTGCGGCGCTGTGCTGTGTGATAAGGAGAATGATGAGGAGGGGTGAGGAGGAGACGCGGGTGCGACGCGGGGGGGGGTTAGAAAACCATGATCATACTAAGCATGTTGGAACTAATCATCATCAGCATCATCATCATCATCATCATCGTCGTCATCGTCATCATCATCATCATCACCATCATCATCATCAGCACCATCATCATCATAATACTACTAATCATGCCAGTCATCACACAATCGTTTTCTTCATCATCAACACCAGCATCAGCATCGTCATCATCATCATCAACATCATCATCAGCATCGCCATCATCATCATTATCATCAGCATCATCATCAGCATCGTTACCATGATCATCATCGCATCATCATCAACATCATATTCAACATCAGCATCAACATCACCATTATCATCATCGTCATCGTCATCGTCGCCGTCACCATCATCAACATCATCACCATCATCACCATCATCACCATCCACATCATCATCATCGTCGCCGTCATCGCCACCGTCATCGTCATCGTCATCATCGTCATCGTTATCATCATCATCATCAGCATCATCATCATAATCATGGTCACCATCATCATCATCACCATCATCATCATCATCATCACTATAAGCATCAGCATCATCAGCAGTATCATCGTCTCCATTGCCAACATCATCAGCATCATCATCGTCATCATCAT